CGGGCGGCACCGAGGGCTGGTACGAGTGGGCGGCGCGGTCCGCGCCCGTGCACTGGGCCGAGGGCGGGCTGGCGGCGCTGCAGGAGGCCACCGGGCTGCCCTGCTGGGCCGCCATCGCCGGCGGGGCCGCCTTGCTGCGCACCGCCGTGACCCTCCCGCTGGCCGCGCAGCAGGGGCGGCTGCTGGCTAAGGTGGGAGCGCTGAGGGCTCTGAGGGAGAGGGGCTGAGGGGGCCGCGGAATGAGCGTCGCGGTTACTTTATTGCAGCGGGTTTGGGGGTTTTTTGAGGGATTTCGGTAGGTTTTGTGCTGCTTTGGTTGCAGAGGTGGGCGTTTGTTGCGCTCTCGCGTAGTGAGGGCTCTCATGCTGTGGTGGTGGCTTTGTTCACTGCCGAGCTGTGTCCTCATGGCCTTTATTTTATTACTCTTCATTTAATTATATATATATATAAATTATATGTTTTATCATGTAAAACACAGTATATATATATATATATAAATTATATATTTTATCATGTAAAACACAATATATTTATATATTACAGTATGCTGTAAATAGCGCTTTCTATTATATGAATTTTCTATTATGTGCTTATATTTATTTGCTACTCTTAGTTTTTGTAATGGTCTTTTCTTTAACGTTGAGGTGCCATTAAAGCTGGGTCTTGTTAAGCGGAGTAGCTAATTGCAAAAGTCCTGCGTGCAGGCAAAAAGATGCTTGTTAAGAATTGCCCTCAATTCAGCTGTGATGGAAATAATTTTTTTCCTAAGAAAGTATAAAATTTAAAAATATGAAAATTCTGTCTTCATTTCACGCAGTAGTAAGAGAACATCTTTGATTGTTACAGTAATTACTTGTCGCTGTTACCTTCGTGTGGTTATTTTGTTTGAAGATGAAAGGTGTTCACTGATGTTGAACAAGACCTTACCCAGATGCCTTGTCTGTCCCTCACAGGCGTTTCCTGTCCCTACAGTTGTTAAATTACAGTGCTAATTGCTATGTTTGGTGCCTGTGCTGGTATTAAATCACAGAAGAGTAATTAATATGTGTAATACCCAGAGAGGTATTTAATTATACGGTGGCAATGTGTATGAATTACTGTACATTATTAATACCTATTAATTCCCGTACAGATATTAAATTTTGCAGTGATAATTAGTAACTCTAATACTCGTTCAGGTGAAGGTGAAAGGTGTTCACTGATGTTGAACAAGACCTTACCCAGACGCCTTGTCCCTACAGTTGTTAAATTACAGTGGTAATTGCTATGTTTGGTGCCTGTGCTGGTATTAAATCACAGAAGAGTAATTAATATGTGTAATACCCAGAGAGGTATTTAATTATACGGTGGCAATGTGTATGAATTACTGTACATTATTAATACCTATTAATTCCCGTACAGATATTAAATTTTGCGGTGATAAGTCATAAGTTAATGCTCCTTCAGGCGTTGATTTACCAGGGATAACTGATAACAGAGGTGAGGAGAGGAAGCGAGTGTTGCCTGCCACTGTGCCCAACCAGTTCTCCTTTCCTTTAGCTAGCTGGAAAACCTGCAGCCTGAGATTAAGGAGCTCGCCCAGCGCCTTCGCTATGAAGTTTCAGTGCGTGGGAAGCAGCTGGGCTGGTCTGAGAAGGTGGCCAGGTACGAGGGGCGTTGTCCACACATTCCGGAGTGGGACGTGGCGGGAAGGAGGATCCCACACACAGCACTTGTGCAGCGATATTCTGCCATGGCCCACAGCTTCCATGTTCGTTCCCCACCTGTGCTTTATTTGTCTGTCCTGTTCCTTTTTGGACGTTGTCCGTTCCGAAGCTCAGGCTTGTGCTTTCCTCTCCGGCAGGTCCCACTTCGCCAGGAACATGCGGAGGATTGTCACGGAGCTGTACGTCCGGGACAACTGCCACCCCTTCAAAGCCACCCTGCTGCTGTGGGTGCAGGTGCCCATGTGGGTGTGCGTGTCCCTGGCTCTGCGCAACTGCAGCGTCGGTGCCCTGGGCCCTGCAGGTGTGGGAAAGGGATTTCTGCAGGGATTTTGGGCTCAGAAAAGGGCATTGTCCCACAAATAGGTGCTGCACCAGGACCAGTCTTCTCTCACTGTCACTGCTTGTCCACTTGCTGCCTTGTTGGGTAAAGAACACCATGTCCCGAGCTTGCTGTACAAGCTGATATAAAAACCAGTCAGCCACTAAGGTTTTAAACCTTAACATCGTTTAAACTTAATTAATTAATTTAAATAATAAGTATTTGAAATGAGTTTTAAACTTAACGTGGTCTGACAGTCCTGTTTAGGAAGTCATATTACACGTGCCACACCACAGTCACTTTTAATCTGTATTTTTACACCTTCCACATGAAATACTGTAGACAAGGTGAATGCGTGAGGCTCTCTTAAATTAAAAAAAAATAAATTTTGTCCTGATTTTTTTAGACAAAAGTTGATAGTTTGTTCTTTTAAGCAAAGATGTGGCTAGTTATACAGCTACTAAGAAAAATACAGTTTTTTCAAAACCAGGAAATTAGCACTGTAGGTTACTGCATTCTTATTTTCCTCATTGACTTGTAAAATATTTGAGATGGAAGTATTTTTTATCACAGATTTACCTGGCTGTCATGAGCTAAGCCAGGTCTCAGCTTGTATCTCTCACTTTTCGTACTTATATTGGTAGCAGAGTGTTAAAACCCAGGATTTCTGCTGTAATTGTACTTACCACGTGGATAAAACATACCTAGAAACTTGGGTCTGTGGTCTGACACTGGTACAGTTTGGCTCACGTGAGACAGCAAATTATACTGAATTCTGTATTTTCTTCAATTTTTTCCTGCAGTGCAAGAGCAGTTTTCCTCAGGAGGAGCACTGTGGTTCACAGACCTCACGGCACCTGATTCCACGTGGATTTTGCCGCTGTCCCTGGGGCTGGTGAATTTGCTGGTGGTGGAGGTAGGCTGGTGGAACAAAGCAGCAGCACATAAAGGTGGCTGCAGGTGATCTCTGCTTTCAGTGCACTGGGCAGAAGTGAAACACAGTCTGTTTTCTCTGTGTGTTTTAATGTGTGGGTGGCTCCGTTCGGAGACCTGCAGGTCGGATGGATCTACTCCAGCCTCAGTAATATTTAGTCTGGACTACAGTTCCTTTGAGAACGCTGCTCTGATGAGATTTCTGGGTGTTAATCCTCAGTTTCAGAAAGAGCTGGTTTATAAGCGTGCCTTTCTCCCCTTTCAGATCTTTGCTTCCCAAACGAAAGTGCCAGTTTCGCGGATCCAGAAGATTGCCACCAACTTCTTCCGCGCGGTGTCCGTGGTGATGATCCCTATTGCTGCCACAGTGCCCTCTGTGAGTACCCTGGGATGTCACCCGTGCCTGGGCTCTTCTGGTGCTTAAAGGAGAGCCCAAAGGCCTCACGTGTTTCATGTTTCCACTGCTGCGTGCTTAAGGAAAGTCAGATGTTCTGTCTGTGTGTATGTTTAAGTCTCGTTGCCTTTGGGATGTTTTTGTTCGAGGAGGAAGACTTTGCAAACTTGGAAGGGGTTCATGTCCTTCGTGTAGCCTGAAAAAGGAGAGGAAAGCTTTATGTAAAGGCATATAGGCAAATGCTTGTTCACTGGAAACCAGTGTCGTTCTTAAATTAGGAGATTTTCCACATCTTTCCTCAAACACTTGTCATTTTTGCCAGGTTTTCTACTGCAGAGTGTTCTTAGCAAAAACAAAGTGTCTGGTTGTTCGGCTCAATTACAGTTTCAAACACAGAAGTTTAATCTGACAGCTCTTAAACTAATTCAAGCCTCAGTGTAGATGGCCCTTTTCCCCAGAAGAGTTGAGAGACAGACAGTTGCATTTCACATGGAAGCCATTATTGCAGATGAGAGCAGGAGGAGTGGTTTAGGTGAGTTGTGTCTCTCAGTCCCTGGGAGTGGCCCGCAGCAGAGTTCTGGAGGAGCTGCTTGGAGCCGTGCTTTCCTTGCCTGCAGGGAGCTGACCTGTGCTTGTGTCCTTGCAGTCCATGGCGCTGTACTGGCTGTCCTCGAGCCTCGTGGGCCTGTCCCACAACCTCCTGCTGCGCTCTCCCGCCTTCCGCCGCCTGTGCCGCATCCCGAGGACCGCGTCCGAGTCGGATACGCCCTACCGGGACGTGGTGGCTGCCTTGGCCACCAGGTACAGCCTGAGGAGACAGCACCACTGAGCTCCAGGAGGAGCTGCCTCGGGAGTGAAGTGCTGCTGGTTTGGTCAGGTGTACTTATCTGCTGTATATTTATTTTCCAAATAAAACGCTGGCTGGCCACGAGGAAGGGTTGGTCAGCAAAAATGTGTCTTTAGTGGGAGGCTTTGTTTCAAGGGTGGTCCTTTTGCAGGTGTCCAGAAATCCAGGTTTGTCTCCTGAATTATCCTAAGAGATTGGGCAGGTGAGTGTGGTTGTGTTCGAGGTCTCAGGAAGAGGGAAGACATGAGAATCTTGACTCCATGTTTCATATTATGATATGATATTATATTGTAATGCTGTACTAAAACTATACTAAAAAGAATAGAAGGAAAGGATTCATCAGCAGGCTGGAAGGGAAAGGAATGGAATGATAATAACATCCTGTGACTGCTCACAGCCTCGGCACAGGTGGCTGTCATTGGTCATCGAGTGAAAACAATTTCACATGCTGGGTAAACAGTTCTTCAGATCACATTCCAAAGCAGCAAAACGTGGAGAAGCTGAAGCTTCCCAACTTCTCAGGAGAAAAGACCCTGACAAAAGGATTTTTCATAAAATATGTCTGTGACAGGTGAGTGTTAAATAAAGCTATGACTCACATACAGTGCCTCTCTTTTGCCCTAAGTCCTAAAGGTAAAAAGGTTTGGGTTTGTTTGTTTCTTTTTTTTTTTTTTTTTGTTAAAATGATCAGGAATTAATTATGTACTTCTTGAAAGATTCCAAGCTGCTACTGTGATGTAAACTAACAAAAATTCGGAAGCAGAAGTTTTTAATGCAGATTTGGAAGCATTTATTTGAATTGTTGTGATAGCCTAGTGGAACTTTACAGGTAGGGCTGAGATAGACTTTCTGACTCCAACCAGCAGTTTAGGAGAAAAAGTGCAGATGTCACTGGGCTGATAACACTGCACTTTACCTGTGGGGATGTTTCACTGAGGTCTGAGAACATCAGTGATAAGAGTTATGCCTGGGTGCTGCCAGGATGTTTTTATACCAAAAAACTCCCCAAAACAGGTGTGAAACTGAAGGTAAAGCAGCCAAAAGCATCTCATCTAATGGTGTCTAACAATTCAAAATCCACAGATAAGGAGATCAGAAGGTATGTGGTAAAGCCATTTCCAGGTCTGCATTGCAGGTAAGATAATGTTCTAGATTTTTAAAGGGTCTTAGAGGTTTCTCTGAATGAATATTGCCATTTTGCCTCATCTGAAGGTGTTGGGAAAAGACTGTGCAAAGGGGAATGAATTTTTGTCTGGAAACTTGGTGGTAGAGGGAGCTGGTGCTCCATGCAGTGCTGATGGAAGTCGCCTCTCCTTCCTCAGCAGTCTCACCTGAGAGGGGCTCACATTCCCAGCCTGGGAGCAGGGCAGGCTGGCAACAGCTATGTCTTGTGTGCAGTAAAAAAATAAAATCCTATTTCTTGGGAAGCATAAAGAGGACTGTGGAACTGGTCACTGGAAAAAATGCCTCCCAGCTCTGTCAGAACCCCATATGTTCGATGCAGGACACTGGCTTTGTTAGATTTGCAGTTCTCTGTTTATTTCTGTTTACTTTGCACCTTTTAACCTTACAAAATGACACCCAAGACCTGCCAGTGGGAATTAGAAGGGATTAAGGCGAGTGTGTTTGGTGGTGGATTTGTCACAGCATTATTTTAGGTCTGCAAGAGGGTTGTTGGAACATTGTACTTAGGAGGGAGCCTAAGCTTGAGGAGCTGCAGTCAGGCAAGTACAAGTTCCCTGGATGGGCTCTGTTCAGAAGTGCTGAAATATCCTGGCTGGATAATGTGTGTTTCATCTCTGTCTTGAAGATGCAGTGTAAACTTGGAGAGCAGGGCTGTGATGTTTGTTATCTTTGGTGGTTGTGCCCTGCAAAAAGACATTGTTTACACAAAAGCTTTCCTCTGTTAGTAATGACTCTGTTCCAGTACATTGTCTGGCCTAAAATCCTTGTCTCAGTGTTAGGTGCTGTTTCTGGGGAAGAGGATTGGAGCTTTGCTGTTTGCCTTTGTATGGTAATGCAATTATTTTGTTGTCAGTCCTTGCTGATGACGCAAAGATGGAGCAAAGATCCATAAAATGGTGTGTGTCGGGTCAAATGAGTCTCCTTGACTGTGGAAGGGCCAAGGGAGGTTTCTGGAGAAGAAGTCAGAAGAAACCTGTTGCTGTGTTCTCTGAGAAACCTGACTGGATACTGTGCAGTGTTCTTTGTGAATGACCCTTTATTAATTAGGTAATGTCATCTGTAGCTCTGGCTTAACTGTGTCTCCACCTCTCGTGCTTGCTTCCTGTTCTGGCTGTGCTGAAAGCAAAGAAATTCTAAGTAAATGAGCAAAACTCAGTAGCTATAAAATAATTGTGGTTTTAGAAAGGAGGGCAGTTTCCCTCCTAACTTCCTGTGATTATTAGGCAGAAACACTGTAGGTGAGGTGAGCTGGCCCCTGTCCCATTCAGGAATGAGATGTCAGTATAATCCAACACCTTTTCCTGGTGGAGGGGATGCTGCTGTCTGCCAGGGAATTTGACACCTTCCCAGTGCACCTGGTTGTTCTTTGGGGCTGTTTTAGTGGGGAATCCAAACTCCTCATCCAAAGCACAGTTACTAGGACGGATTCCTTGGAGTGCAAGGATTTTTTTCCCGTACCGAGTGTCACTTTTGGCACCGTTCCATGGTTTCTGGAAAGTAAAAAAGCGTCAGGGTCCTGTTGGTGCACTGCTGTACACACGGGGGTGCTCCAGCTCCTGTCAGCTGCGGAGCTGCCGGGTTCCAGGATCCAGGACAGGCAGGCATTGGACTTAAACTTTTTTCCTCCTGTGTCTTTCATCCTGATGCTGTTTCGGAGCTTAATCAGGCTGTCCTTCACAGTGCACACTTCTTTTCCACCTCGCTGCCATGCCCCTTTGAAGTAACCCAGTGTTCAACACTGCTGAGTTGAAAGTAATGCAAAGGACTGCCTTGCTGCTCCCTCTTTGTGGCCAGGGAATGCCGAAGGGAAGCAGGCAGGTGTCGGAACAATCCCGGGTTGTCTTTGCAAAGCCCTCCGTTGGTGCATACCTATATTTAATTAATCTGACTAATTTGTAATGGTACATGAGGTATTCTTCATTCCTTTGAAGCTCAGCACAGTGCTAAAAGAAACAGCAGCTGCTGCTTTCCTGAGTGAGGTGTTCTGTTCTATTTCCTGAGTTTCAGGGATCACAAAAAAATTCGGAATCAGGGATTTGTGCTTCACATCAGTGGCACCTCAATGATTTTGATCCGTTTTTGCTGCACAGAACTGTGGTGGTACAGGCTTTGAGTTTGGGTAGGGATGTTTAAAGAAGCCTGTGTAAATTTGGGTCATCATTAAGATGAGTGCACACATCCCTGTGTTCCTTTATTTAAGGAGTTGAGCTTTGTGGGTTCATTTGTCCAGGTACCTATTCATAATTTGAGTGCCTTAATTAACTTTGCAGTTGGAGTAATAGTAAATATCATTTTTTTAGCCTGTTTTACTTAATATAATCCCCCACTTTTGTTTGAAAGTGGAAGAGACCGCTACTGCCTTATTTGTAGGGACTGGGCTTCTGGAGGAGATCTTCCAGCTCCCAGAATCCCTGGTACTCAAATCCCTCATGAAAATAAGGGGTATGGTGCTGTGTGCTCTGAGGCTTAATATTACCTGGCTTTTTGAGGCCTGGAGAGAGGTAGGGAAGGCATTTCCCTGTGCCAAGTACCCTGCCTTCCTGCAGGGAAGGCACACTCCTGTATTCGCACTCGAGCAGTACAAAGGTGGTTTTGGTACTTGCTGCTGAGAACAGAGGAGAATTTGGGATGCTGTCACAAGCCTGACTTTGGTTTTTACGAGTCCAAGGCTCAAACGTGTGAAATGGAGGGGACAGAGAGGTTGGAAAGCCACTTGGGATGTCAATGGCTACCACAGAGGCTGTAATGGGAAGAATGTTAATTGGAAACAAATGCCAGCCTTCAGCATCATCCATTCCAGAGGAAAAGGGCCCTGTGCATTCAGGAGTTTGGGCCTGAGCATGTTCACCTGGAGTTTTCTGGGGAGCTGTTGGTCAGTGGCATGCAGTTCTTCCAGAGGGGGTGGAATGCCAACCCGTGGTGAGTGATGGGTCCTTGGAAGTGCAAGAGGGCAAGAAGGTCTGTGGCTTGTAGTTACAATGTGCTTTTGGCAGGCAAGTAAAACAAGCCAAGAAGTGCTTTTCCACTCTGGTGTATCAAGAGGACCTGAGATGGGCCAGGAATCTTCAGGCAGGGACATGGTGAGTTTTGAAATACTTCAACTTGAGCAGGGCAGATCATCTGCTTGGCTTTAGTCCTGCTTCCTCTTTGGGGGCTGTGATGGATTCCCACGTGCCCTTGTGGCTGTTTTGCACTTTGGGAATGTGTGTAGGAAAACGGTGAGCTGTGAACCTTATCTGACAGGATAGCGGTTAAAATACGGATTTCCTGGAAGTTTTGAAAGGCTGGATTTGATTTGAGAGGTCTAGTGGAGGTACCAGAACACTCAAGTGCGGCGATTTTCTTTCAGCACCTGAGTTTGAACAGAAAAGTGACCTCTGTCCTGCTGACAGAGGGAGCTGCTGCAGGCAGAGAACACGCTCTTCTGGACGAATTCCTGACCTTGAGCCCTCTCTGTCTAGAAAATAAATGATAAAATCTTCTTCTGGGGGAAATCAGTCGCTTAGAAATGTAGCTAATAAAATAGAAATGGTGGCGGTACTCTCTAGGCGCGTTATTTCTGCTTTGAGGAAGAGCTGCAGATTGGAAGTTGGCAGACAGCAACTTTTTGGAGGTTTCATATCAATGCAGCCTAAACCTTTTGGGTACAACTAAAGGGATTTTAGTTTAGATTTAGTTCAGAGCTCAGGTTCTTTGTGCATTTTGTTAAAGCCCAGCTGGCCACGTAATAAAAAATGGGGTTTTTTCTGAAGGGT